TTCCCTGGAGCTTAATTTACCTGAAATATTTTTCATAGAGGGTGTGAATTGGATTATGTAAGTTTTTTATTCTTAAGAACAAAACATCCCTGAGAAAATTGGTGCATTTTTCTTTGTTGCATTGGGTCTCACTTAGGAGAATTTTGTTTTAACCTTGTTTAAGGTTCACCTTATTACCTCAAATATAAACTGAGCATTAATCAAAGAAGCAGAATGTTTGTCCCTACTTCAAAGTTGCAACTAATCAGAGAAGTAGATGGTCTTTTAAAAATATAACTTCTGTCTATAGCTAGTTTAGCTACAACTTTGTGTTAATGACGAATGTGTATGGTGTTATCTTGATCTGTACAGGAAAACTGAAGAGCAAAAGCCAAAGGAACACAGACCTAAAGCAAGCGAGAACAAGCCTGTTATGAATGAGTAACAGTCTATTACATGTCCCTGCCGGCTGTTTTTAGCCTTTTAGGATGCTTTAAAGAGAGTTGTTAATAAAATGTTGTGGATTCTATCTGGTGTATTTTCTTAACATCGTTTAAGTATCCTCAGATATTTTTACAATGGGTTTTCTATCCCGGATCACTGGATTATTAGGATTAACCTTTTAATATGTGCTGCACTTTGTTTCCTTTTGTTGGGTTTGGTCTGAATTGGTTTTGAGTTTTTTTATCTGGTTTGTTTGTTTTTTATCTTAATTTTTTTTATTAGAATAAGAGCCATCAGTAGGTGGTGAGAAAATGAAAAAAGAACAGAAAGTGGAAGAATTGAAAATTATTACCACATGGACCTGATGGACGTCCAAGTCAGCGATTATCGGCATTACTTGCATTCATCCAGCTAAATAGCTAATTGGACTGTTTTTTTAAATTTTATGGACATGATTGATTTACTTGTAATTGTGACTTGTGAGCATCCAGTTGACTTTTTGATCAAAGTATATGGGTCGTTGTTCTAAAACTTGCTAGACATTAGTGAGACGGTTGAGGCATTGAGGGGTATTTAGGTAGGGGTGGACTCGGGCCGGGCGGCCCGGCCCGGAACCGGCCCGGCCCGTCCACTGTAGCAACCGGCCCGGCCCGGTGGCCCCGGTCCAACGGCGGTTCGGGTCGAACCGGTTCCGGGCCCGGGCCCTCCATTTGGTGAACCGGCCCGGCCGGTCCGGGCCAGAATTATTATTTTTTTTTTGAATTTTTTTTAAAGTTTTGGTTTGGATTAGGTATTTTGGGCCATTTGAGGTGGTTTCGGGTGGTTTGGGGTTGAGGGGGAGGGATAGGAGGTTAAATAAGAGAAACAAAAAAAAAATTATGACCCGGGCGGCCCGGAACCGGCCCGGTTTGGCCCGAAACCGGGAGCCACCGGTTCGTGTCCGGGCCCTCCTTTTGGTGAACCGAGGCCCGGCCGGTTCAAGGCCCGAACTGGGCCCGGCCCGAACCGAGTCCACCAACATGTTTAGGCGGCTGACTAGGCCGATTAGTTATCTACAGGGATTATCTACAGGGATTATGTTGACTAAGTCGATTAATCAGTTTGACAGTTTGACTAGGTTGATTTTTAGAACATTGATAGGGACTATTAAACAATTTTTCAAAGAAATAATACCATACTATTTTTCATTTATAATTCTAAGAAACAGGAGTCTTCATCATATACTCGTATATAATTCTATAAGAAACACTAGCATTCTATAAGAAACTCGTATATAGGATGATTATGTATATAATGTTTTATGCAGTTCATCTGATGGAGTACGAATTTGGATCAATAAATTCTTTTTTCAGATTCTTACCCCTAAATATGGACCATAGTGGTCTAATGGATACGGATTTGATTTGATTACTACTATGCGGACATGGTCTAGACTTATCGGCTATATTCCAGAACTAGGCTTGGATCGGGGCCCGGTAGTGTGTAGTACCGGCCTGCCAAACGGGATCGGGACCGGTCCATTAGGTCTGAACCGGGGGGAGGGGGGTCAGCGGGCTACGGGTTAGCAATCTTAGCATTTTGGTAGACCGGCCCGGCTGGTCTGGACCCAAAATATAACTTTTTTGTGTTTTTCCGAATGGATTGGGTCATTTGGGTCAATTGTGTGCTAGCTGGGTGGTTGGGGGGGGGGAGGAACAAATAAGAAAAAAAAAAAAAAAACAAGAACCGACCCGGTCCCGGTACCCACCCCGGCCAGTACCGGGCCTGCACTTCCCAGACCCAGTCTCGCCCAACTGCCCAAGGACCGACCCGGACCCGGTCTAGACCCGGGTCCAGTCCATCCCTATTCAGAACGACTCATCAAGAGCTTCATAATGCTCTTAGATCTATATTTCTGTAATAGCCTGTGCAACCAGCTGCGAGAGCTTTCTCATTGTGGTTAGACTCTTTATAAAATGTAATAGCTGTTCAATATGATTATGGAACACGTTTAGATTTAACTCTATTTACAAGTCTAATATGGGGAGCAATTGATCAAGTTCAAAGGATACGATATGGATGACCATTTTAATTTAAATTGAGCAGAAATTTGATAGAGTACGTTAACATGCTCACTATAAAGTATGTTAGTGTGATAAATGGCTTGAATCTACTCAAAATTTTGAATGTGTGAATCCTAACCGCAATTATCACGCTAACAATCTAACATGCTTGATAGTGAATATGTTGGCGTGCTCCATATATTTATTCAATATTCTTGTGATGCGTGACCACAATGTACTCTCTAATAATTACAAAAATTCAAATTGATTAACCTTTTCTAAAATATTTTTTTGCAATGATATTCCAAAGTCATGTTCTGTACATTGAACTTTTAAATTATCATAGTTGATGCGTGCTTTGTTTTTTACTAATTAGTTTCTGCTTCAGGTTGGTTATGTCAGTGTATGAATTAGGGTGGATTACTATTCGCTTAAATATGTCCATCAAATGATTAGTGAGTCTTAGGCAGTACGTGTTTGAGAAAAATTAAAAAAAAAACACTTTTTAGCTTTTAACTTAAAAAAAGTTAAAAGTAGTGTTTTCAAACAACAACTTCTACTTAAATTAAGCACTTAAAAGCCAAAAGTTAAAAGATGGTATATTGGTGCTTCTAAGTGCTTCTTGATTTTTTGTAAATTATTACAACTTTAAGGATAGTTATAATGACAAATATATTGTGTTAAATCCAAAATACCCCTTTTCATATCACCTAAATGTCTCGGTCCTCTACCCACCCATTCATGCATCACCATCTCCCTCCTCCGTAAATACATATAGCGCCGCCACCGTAACAGTACTCCTCCTCCTACAGCAACCCAAAGAAGGCAAATTCGTCAAGATGATCACTCCCAATTTCACTGTCTTCATAAAGAGAGATGCCAAATCTAACACATCGGGATATCCAGTCCTTCTTCAGTCCCTCATCATCAGATCGACAATTTAGTTAATCTGGGTTTGTAATTGAAACATAGAAAAATGTTGATGAATCGTAGATGTAATAATTTGTCCTGTGATGATAGGAAAACAATTTTGGCTTGTTGGCAATTCTCCCATCAAAATCCGTCTCCTTAGCTCGTCTCTGCAACTTTATTTCAATGGAGTATGCTACTGGTCGCTGGTGAGCCTACGGTGATAGCTGAACGGGATTTCCAAAAAAAGAAAGAAAGGGCATTTTTGTACTCCAACAAATATTATATCAACAATCACTTTTTTATCAAACACTCCAACTTTAACTTCTCCATTTTAATCACTTCTCTTCCCAAACACTATCTACTTTTACTAATAAGCACTTTCTTTAAAATCACTTTAAAAAATTACTTATTTGAAGTAGAAGCAAACGCAAACACTCCCTTACTGTTCTTGTGAGGGTGTCGAATGGCCGTCTATATGTCTAATTTTAAGGCTAGTGATCAAGTTGTGATTGTCATTCTAGTTGTTTGTCTTCTCCAACGAATTTTTATAATAAAAGCAATTTACAATCTAAAGGATTATTACGGTCGAGTAATTATTTACTCACGTTAATTGTTTGCGGTCGAGTATATAATTTGTTTTGAAACAATTTAAACTTATCGAGTATTTGATGAGAAATGTCCAATGACAATGCTCTCATGTCTCCGGAGTAAAGGTATTCTTTTTGGGACACAATTTTGACAGATCTGATTTGCATTCTATTTTGGGTGTTTGGATTTTATTCTTAAAAATGATTCCGCTCATTCATGAAGTAGATACAGATGAGCGGTTGTTGAAGTGTTGGAGTGGAAGTGCAGAAATACTTTCGATACTCTAAATTACGCTTAGAAGCAGTTTTTTAGAAGATGGGGGCGTTCAATTTCTGAAAACTGATTTTGATTATGTTTCTATTTTTAAAAACGAAACATAATCAGAACCAGTCCAAACACTCCCTTAAATTGTGTTACTTGTCTAAAAAATGTACTGCGTAAGTATTGTGTTGTTACATAATAAAATACTGGAAAAGGGGGCAAATAAGCCCGCGTACTAACCAAAAAAGGTCAAATAACTCTTATATATGAGGCTATTTCCGGCTGTCACCATTTGAGTGCCTGCCCGATTGCAGTTTTAGTTGAAATTTGGTATGAGTAAACTATATTTAATGAATAAAATGTTCAAAAAAATTCATCAAAAAATTCCACCGGGAACCACCCCAAATGGCAACGGCCGGACAAAGTTTCCTAAATAAGAACTTATTTAACCTTTTTTTATTAGTACGCGGACTTATTTGTCTCTTTTCTCTAAAATACTTAAGGATCACATAAATGTATTACTCTATATGATTTAAGTCGATCCTCTATTGAGCTTAAATAAATACGCAGTATGTTCTTATTACAGTATTTAAGTCGTGTTTTTTTTAAAAGAAGTCTTGTGTGTTAAAAACTTAGAGCTTTGCCTTTACAGATTGCGTCGTTGTGGGATCAATTACTCAGAAATTAATTAATCACCACTCCGTAGTAATTGTACTCCGTAGTATTAATGATTATTAGTTAAAAAATTAATTGATCTGAATTAAATTGCGATCTGATCTGGGTCGTTCCGCAAAGGAGTGGGCACCGTTATCGAGTCCTATTTCAACCCAACACCGTCGTCCACCCGCGTATGCAGCCAGCACTTCAGAAACTCCAACTCTCTACTAAACTCTGATCCATTTCTCTCTCTCGCCGGAGAAAGAGAAGCGGAAATGGCGAAGAACTCGATGCTTCGTACCTCCCGCTCTGTTTCACTTGCGGATCGGGTCTCCGGAGGAGTTCACGGTAGATCCACCGATGGCGGCTTCACCTTCAAGTTTTTCGCTTCCGCTCTCACCCTAGCCGTTTTTCTCTTTTTGACTCTCTCTTTGCGCTACACTTCCTCTTCGGGTCCCTCCCATCATAACATTGTAAGTATCCCAAGGCTATGTTCTCATTTTTCATCACACTCTTCTGTCGGCTGTTCTGTGATTTATTTGTTTATTTTCAAAATTTCATTAGCGATCTCACCGTTTTAGAATCCTATTGTTTGATAATGGTCTGTTTGCGTTTGATATATTTTAGTTAACGTGATCTCAGAATGCGCAATTTCTACTAATGGTATCTATAACGGCCAACTCTATGAATTGTGTTTTTGAATTTGGATATATGCAGATGTCACTCGCAATTGATTCGATCTGGTTTCCATTTCTAGCTTCCTGTTTATTTATTTTTTTAGTCTTTACGCTTTTAGTGCAAGTACAATTGTAGTAACGAACTTTTTATGCTTCAAGGGGATTCCACGTGATGAATATGGAGTTGGGCCTTTTCAAAGATCTGTACTGGCTCTGAAATCAGATCCACTAAAGCCACGACTTGATCTGATAAGGAAGCAGGCTGATGATCACCGTGCTCTAGCTCTGGCTTATGCTTCCTATGCTCGAAAGCTCAAACTCGAGAACTCAAAACTTGTCCGGGTCTTTGCTGAACTGTCTCAAAACTATACAGATTTGATTTCAAAGCCTTCATACCAAGCACTGTTTCAATCGGATGCCAATTCACTTGATGAATCAGTGCTTCGGCAGTTTGAGAAGGAGGTGAAAGAAAGAATCAAAGTCACACGTCAAGTCGTTGCTGAGGCAAAGGAGTCTTTTGATAACCAGCTAAAGATTCAGAAGCTAAAAGATACCATTTTTTCTGTAAATGACCAACTAACAAAAGCAAAAAAGCAAGGTGCATTTTCAAGCTTGATTGCTGCAAAATCAATTCCCAAAAGCTTGCACTGTGTGACTATGAGACTAATGGAGGAGCGCATTGCACACCCAGACAAGTACACCGATGAAGGAAAGCCCACCCCACCTGAATTTGAGGATCCCAAACTTTACCATTATGCCATATTTTCTGACAATGTCGTTGCAGCTTCAGTTGTGGTGAATTCAGCCGTGAAGAACTCAAAAGACCCACAGAAGCACGTGTTTCATGTTGTCACTGATAAGATGAATCTTGGGGCTATGCAAGTTATGTTCAAGATGAGGGACTATAATGGGGCCCACATTGAAGTTAAGGCTGTTGAGGATTACAAGTTCTTGAACTCTTCGTATGTCCCAGTTCTCCGACAGCTTGAATCGGCTAATCTGCAGAAGTTTTACTTTGAGAATAAGCTTGAGAATGCTACAAAGGACACCACAAATATGAAATTCAGAAATCCAAAGTATCTGTCAATATTGAATCATCTTCGGTTCTACTTGCCTGAAATGTACCCAAAGTTGCACAGGATCTTGTTCTTGGATGATGATATAGTTGTTCAGAGGGATTTAACTGGCCTTTGGAAGATAGATATGGATGGTAAAGTGAATGGAGCCGTGGAGACTTGTTTTGGCTCATTCCATCGTTATGCACAATACATGAATTTCTCTCATCCTTTGATCAAAGAGAAGTTTAACCCTAAAGCTTGTGCATGGGCGTATGGGATGAACTTCTTTGACTTGGATGCTTGGCGCAATGAAAAATGCACTGAACAATACCATTACTGGCAGACTCTGGTACGATGTGATTTGATTATTTAATTTATTGGTTACTGGTAATATTATTATATTGGCAATTCTAGTTAGTAGTTTGTATGGATCGTTATTTTGCAGCATTTACTATTTCTACGTTCTGAAATGCTTGTTTTTTATTTTTGGGAATTACACTTAATTTATATTTTGAAGATTGCATTTTAAATTCTTTCTGAAGGTAGAAGTATTTTAACTTTTGCAGAATGAAAACCGAACTTTGTGGAAATTGGGAACACTACCTCCCGGTTTGATAACATATTACTCCACAACAAAGCCACTGGATAAGTCTTGGCATGTCTTAGGGCTTGGCTACAATCCAAGCATCAGCATCGACGAAATTGACAATGCTGCAGTTGTCCACTTCAATGGGAACATGAAGCCATGGCTTGATATTGCCATCACCCAATTTCGGCCACTTTGGACAAAATATGTTGATTTTGAGAACGAGTATATCCAGGCTTGTAACTTTGGGCTTTAAGTGGTGGTAATAGTTGAAGCTTTGTTCAAAAGATTCATTCAACTAATTTATCCACATGTCGGAAGTCTCTCCACGCCCTCCTACACATAAAGTTAGTACTTATTCCATCATAGAACCTTAGTTTTAGCATATTTACTTTCTTAAATAGTTTACATTCTACAATCTCCAATTGTCCATAATTGTTATCTATTTTTATTGCTGAACTTTAATCATGCATAAAGTTTCATTCAACAATGTTCAAGTATTTTACGCATTACAAATACTGGCAAGCATGCAAGCAGCTTATATAGTTATATAGTACATTAGTACTCCTTCCTGCTTTCATGTTCTACTATATAATAAACAAAAGTTTTGTTCGGCCAACACTTTTACGCATCTACATAACCTTTATGCTGCTGTTTTTTAAAATGTGCTGTGGAAGCTGGATTCCTTCTACCTTAAGTTGTGCATACAGTTAAAGGGGTAATGATAAGAGTGTTGCTAGGCACATTTATGATATTCGGCCACCCAAAAGAGCTAACCAGAAGACATCGTGGAATTGAGCGAGACTGGCATTATAGTTTTAAGTCTTGTGCTTAGATAGATAATTGGGGGGGGGGGGGGGGTTAGGAAAAATAATTGTTGTGTTTGGATGGAAAGGTTGATGGCTGATCATTCCTATAGGAAAACAAGGTATGTGTAAATGTGCATTGAGTGGGAGGGGGGGTCTCATTTCAGATCCATTTTGGAGAGAAACATGTTTTACTAGCTGCGGAATTATTTGTCTCCTCATTTTACTTGCCCAATCAATAGATTGTTATAGGGAACTCCCGTCTTCTATTCTTTCTCCCCACCCAAACACGTTTCTTCCTGTCCTCTGCATGGAATCATGTGGGGAGCTTTCTTTCTCAGTTCCTGATGGCAATCTGTTATTTTATTTCACTCTGAATTCGATGGTCTATACTCTATACAATTATACAAATAAGCATGCATGTATGTGGTAGTCGTTTGGCAATAAAAGCATAGACATGAGATCTCAATGAAAGAGATGTTATGCATTTTTAGCATGTGATGCTTTAAGTTAACCGATTCATCCAATAGAATACGCAATTATTATTATTATTTTCAGCATAGTTGCAGGATTTAGATGTCATAGTGAACAGCCTACCCTAAAACCACATATAGAGAAAGGGTGATTATTGGTCATGATTCACATGGCCCTATCATTCAAAAATATATTATATTGAGTACTCCGTATATGTTTTTGAATGGAAGGCCCATGTGTGTCGCGGCTAGTAACTCTCTTTCTTCTGTATGAACATCTTGTATGTAGTATCTCAAGTACTACTGCAAGGATGAAACCCCTCCACCAAACTCACATCTGTACTCTATAGCCTATGCCATGTTACTTTTAGCACAAGGAGTCAAGGAGTCACAGTTACATCATGTTCAGAAAAAGTAGAGTATGCGATTTAATAAAAAGATTATTGAGCCCCTTACTATCAGCATGATAGTCAATCTAGAGATGACATAGGATTGTAATTCAGATCATAAAATCCTCTACAATATAATATATTATATACGTTCATAAAACTACCATAATTTAGAACCTAATACTAAATATTTTACATGTGAAAATCTAAAACAGAGTTCTAGCTAGAGAACTACATGTCTACATCTAAAACATTCTCACCTATGCTAAAAGTATGATATTGTAAAGAACTTCAACTCCTCCATCGTTCAAATCATGAATGTCCACATCCATGTGAGACTAGCGACCCTTCATCAACTGTGGATGGCTCGTCTTCGTGAGTAGATGGAGTATTCACAACCAAATTATCTTATTTAGTTGGTCTACTAGAATTCTTGTCATTTTTTGAATTCCAAATTAGCCATAACAAAAACAAGATCATTGTTATTGCTTAATTGATTTCTTCTATTTGTGTCAACCCAATTACATACATATGTGAACTCCATGAGTATCTTGTTAGTATTATTTCAGAAAATTATTATAATTCTTATCATTTCAAAGGCAGTCCATCTAGATGAAGAACTTACCAAGCTTAACTCTTGAACGACAAACTTTTGAAGTTGGGATACTCACCTCCATGCGACTCTCACTAGTTTATATGTAGCCCCTTAACTTTACCTTTTTCTTTGTGTTGATAAAGTAAAAAGAGTAAGACGAAAAATCTATTCTAATTTACTTTTTTTACTTTGATTTTGAAATATAAAACTTTGAAATAGAACTCTTCTTATCTAGGGTCTTTCTAACAAATGGAGTGCCAAAAAAGTTTCCGCGTCTTAAAATCATCATGTTGAACGTCAATATTAGTTTGTTCGTTAACCTTAGTTACCATACGGCTATATTGTCATATAGACCTCGCTTAACCTTAAAGTTGAATTTAATGCAACTGAGTGTTAAAAAATAGGCAACAACATCTAAATGTTTATGGAGTAGTAGCTTATCACATCTTTCATTAATCACGACGTTCCCCGAATAAAAGTAACCAAAGAATAAAATAAACCAAGTAACATTTAAATATTTAATGATATGGCTTTGTTCTCATGACACACCCCAAATGTTAGTAACATGTAGCAAAACGAGTCAAGCTAGGTCTCACCAATTTTCTCTTATTTGTGTAGTGGTCTAATAGAGTAATGAGAGCAGTTCTAGCTAAAATAAATGAAGGTAGCAATTATCTTACTTCAGGAATTGTGTTTTCATGTATGGATATTTTCACTATTTTCTTCTCAAAATTTTCAATAATTAGATCGATGCAATGTGTTGCGCACTATGTGCAATATAATTTTTTCCTCATTTGTATTAACAACTCTAGCACCTTTCTAGTTTGCGGCATCATTAGTCACAATGTGAGTAACCTCTGCAGATTGAACCCTATCTGCACCCAGAGCCGCTCCTCTAGCGGTCCTACCACCGCATCTGATATACTAGCAATCCTTGTGAATAACATGCTCTTCATGAACAACTTCCACCTCATCATCTATCATATTAAGCACTGTCAACAAATTTAATTATATCAGTAGATCAATAAATTTATTTTCAATAATGCTTGATGTACTCACTTTTATACCCACTTTATACACACCATGTTTGTGGAGGTTTTTTTTGTCTGTGAACCCGGGTTCATAGACAATATTTTGTCTGTGCAAAATATTGTCTGTGAGCCGGGGTTCACAGACAAAAAAAACACTTCACAAACATATGTGTGTGCAAAAGTGGGTATAAGAGTGGGTACAAAGATCATTTTTTATAAATGTATTCTATCAACCACAATGGAGTCAAAAACTCATTAATTTTTAACTTGGAAATATGATAGAATAAAGCAAAATGGTTCATTAAAATGTCTGCACTTCTTTGTTATGAAGAAACAGTCGGTCCATGCAATTTTTGAAGCGATCTTCACTATGGGTCATCCGGAAACAGTGTCTCTGTACTTTAGTACAGAGGTAAGGTTGTGTACATCCGACCCCCTCTTACTCCACCATAGGTGGGAGCCCTTGCGGCACTAGGGTAATGATGATGATGATGATGAGTAGATCAATAAATTTCAATAACACGATTTACTTCATGCATTCATCAAGAAATTTATTTAAAAAATTACCTTGTACTACTCCATCCATTAGTCATCATAGTGCAATCAGGGCCGACCCAAGCCATGTGCACCAGGTGCAATTGCACAGGGCCCCCATTTTTAAAAGGTCTCAATTTTTATTATCATAGTATATTACAATAGGCTCATTAGAAAAAAAAATCCAGCCCTGTTAGACAAAGCCTGTTAATGCCTCACTCCTTTTTATGTCTGGTCATATGACATTAAGTTCTACAAAGCGTATTAGGACCTTATGTTATCTCCGCATTATGCATAAGGCCCTTTATTTGTCGGGGCCAGCCCTAAATGCAAGCATTTCTTTCTATTTCCATAAACAATAGTGTTCATGCATTTCCACTTCTTGCTTCAAGTACTTCAAGTTAGTTTCATTGGCGGCTTGAATACAAGCACATGGCACGAAATCAAAATTAATAAAATCGTAAAGTAAAACAATATAGGGATATAAGTATAAACTAGAGCAAGAAATGAATAAACAAAAAATCTTGGTTAGGAAGGACTACTTCTGATTAGGGAATGCAGTCCGCAAGTAATATAATTAGACTACAATTGGGATGAGCCATTGTTAATCAAACACATGCTTTAAGTATACTCTTTTGTCTTTAATTAGCACTATTAAATGACAAAATAATCATCAAATATTTAAAATAATACATCTACCACATCACAATTATCATCATTAACCTCATTATGTTATATTCTCGATCTATTTTATTTAATTGTCTATATAATCATGTCATTCTTTAGTGAAAATTTTAAGCCGGGAGGCCCGGTATGGATGTAGTAAACAACAACCCAAAATGAAAGCTAGTCTCTAACAATGGCGGAAATAGAATTGTAGATTAGGAGAGCCGGAGCTTAAAGAATTTATATTGGGGGAAGGGGAAAAACTTAAAATTTCAATATAATAATTTACTACTTATAAAAAATTTTACATAGGGAAAAGTGTAAAATAAACCCCTACTAGTTACTACTACGAAAATATTTATACATAGGGCATCAACCCAAATATCATCCAATTAGACCCACAAACACGTAAAAAAATCAAATTGGCTTTTTAGCCAGTAACATTCCAATATCTTTTTATTGGAATGACGTGACATTCAATCTTTGTATTTTCTCCATATCTTTTTTCTTTTTTGTTTTTCCTTTTCTTTCATTATTTTCTTTATTTTCTTTCTTTCTCACTTTCTTCCCCATCCCATTTTCCTTTCTTTCTTTCCCTTCTTTCCCTTTCTTTTTTTCCTTCTTTATTTTACAATCGCCAATCTGGTCGTCCATTGGATCCAAGTGCCGGTCTTCTTACCCGACCAACCTTTGGCAATGCCATAGAAGTTAGGTTGAGCGCCGGTCGTCTTCTCCGACCAATTTCTGAGAAAGAGAGTGTCTGTCGACGATCATCTACACCGAACGTTGTCATCCTCTCTTACCAACGTTCCGTCTCATGAAGTGTTGATCTTCCCATCGATTTGTTATTTTATTTATTGCTCTTATTTTCCTTGTTTATCCATGGATTGGATGAGTCAAAATCCAAAAATAAAAGAAAAGTGAGAAATAGGGGTAGCTTGGGGTTGTGATTAAGAATGAAATGAAAAGAAAATAGGAAACGGGGAGGGAGCAACAGGGCGAAGAAACAGTCAACGGAAAAGAGAGGGAGGAAGGGAAAAAGAGGAAAGGAAAAAAAAAGTGTCACGTGTCATCACGTGTCAATGACCAATTGGTAACCTAGTAAAAAACATATTTGACCGTTTT